TGTGTGTCACAGGCTGATCTGGCTGTAGGCTGTGGCACTTGGCCAGAGGTGGCGCTGGTTGACTCGACTCCATGTTAGTGCACAAAGTAAACTGCTCGCTTTAGTTGTGAAGCAAAAACGCTGAAACCGGAGAAATAAACCGTGCGAGGGGAACGATAACGACGACAAGAGTCTCCCGATCGTTTACTCTTGCTGTCCTGTGAACAACATCGGCGTGGTGTTACTTGTTTGCTGTTTTCGCGATCGCGTCGCGCATGAGGATATCACCAGGTAAACTCGCCACATTTTTAAACATTTTGTTGTTCAACAGCATCACGACTGACTGAGTGTGTTTGAGATAACCTCACAAGTGTCACAGGTGACACATTTGGCGTTTTTTTGCTGGTTTGTCGGTAGCAGCTCCTGAAACGCAAGACTGCCACACATCTGTTCGACCAACGCCAGTTGATCTAAACGCCAGTTGATCTGGAACACCGGTCGCCTCTCGACTTCATTCGAGTCCTAGGTTGTGCTAGGAGCCTATGGTTGGATGATCTAAGTGCCCTGACAGTACCCCCCCTCTAAGGGTCGGCTCCCGACGACCCCAAAACCAAAACAAAAAAAAAAAACAGCACAACCAACCCAGGGCGGGCGGCGGGGGGGGAACCAGGACGGAGGGCCAGAATCAAAACAAGCAAAAACAACCAAAGAAAACAACCCCCCCAAGGTCACAGTCCCAGAGTCCGACCGCGCATCCAGCAGCGGAGAAACAAAACGAAAAAAACGCCACAAAACAGTCTCAGGTGGCCCATCAACATAACAAAAGAGTTCAGGGGCCTACCTCGAGTCCAAAGGCGGCGACATTGCCGCTCCGGCGGACGGCCACGGGTCCGGCAGCAGCAGCAAAACAGTTCCGGGGGCCTGCCACAGCTCCAGTGGCGGCGGCACTGCTGCCCCTCCGGTGGCGAGTCCCGGGTCCAGTAACGGCGGCGCTGCACCCCAGGCGGCCTGCCCGGGATCCAGTGGCGGTGGCGGCGCTGCTGCTCCTCCGGCGGCCTGCCCTGGTCCGACGCCGGCGGCGCTGCACCCCAGGCGGCCTGCCCCGAATCCAGTGGCGGCGGCGCAGCTCCGGTGAACAACGGCGAGGTATGGTACATGGCCGATGACACGCCGGTCGATGACGCGCCGGTCGCTGACGCAGACGCGCTGGGCGTAGCTGGGTCATTCTTACTATTCGGTGCCATTTGAGTCCTAATGACATAATATGGTATATTTAGTGTAAAACTTGTCTAATGCTTATTTCTAAACCATTTTCTTGTATGTTTAACCCCCCTCTACCATAGAACACATTGATATATACACAGGATAAATACATTAAAAGTAAATTACGTTTATTTTAGCACAAGTCACTAAAGTACTATGTCCCCAGTCATGCTTGCTCGACTTCAGTTACAAATATAACTTAAAAAAAAAATCTAGATTTTTCATCATTTCTGGATTGGCTTATTTCTAATGTTCCTCATCAAATGTTCTTTTTTATTATTAATGCATGTTTAATACTTAAAATCTTTAAAAAAATGTTGTGTCCCTGAATCAACTGTCACCCCTGTTACTCTGATAAGAATTCCATAGAACACATCACCTGATTATTCTTTTAGTCACATGACACTCCCGGATGTAACATATTTTGGAGGGGAAAACTTTCAAGAAGAAGACAAGTACCACTCTTTAATCAACCCTTTTTTCAATGTTTTAGCAAGATTTTGTAATGTGGCAAAGCATAACACGTCCAACCTGTTACGCTTATTAATAGTGGAAACAATTTTTTTTTTGTAATTTTTATAATATGGCTAATAAACATGTTAAAAATGGTTCTTAGTGGTCACCATGTACTAGCTTGTTGTTCATCATACTAGTAGTAATGGCTAAGTTTAGCATAAAATCTCCCCCCTGTTACCGTCACCCCTGTTATTGCTATGCACTGTAACATGAAATTTCCTTGCAGATTTTAAAAAGGGACATTGTAGCTTTTAGAAAATGTAAATATTACTATAACTGTGTATTCAAAACAGTTATTAATAGAAAATTGAATGTCCTGTAACAGGGTGGACATTTGGCACGTCATGGGTAAAGACTTTGATTTTAAAAAATATTATAATATAATATCCTTAGCTGGACCAATACATTTTTCTTGTAGGTTGAAAATCCCTCTTTTAGATGAAATGTTAAAATAATTCAAAATTTTGTATTTTTTGATGAAGAGTGATCACACTGAAATGGCACCGAATAGTAGGAATGACTCAGCTGGCGTGGAGGGCGCGCTAGACGTGATGATCCGTCTGACTTGCTGACCTCCAGTTCAGGCTGAGCGGGTCTCTCCGGACCTCCGAGCTCCTCCGGTGGCAGCGCGGGCTCCTCCGGCACGCCGAGCTCCTCCGGCACGCCGAGCTCCTCCGGCACGCCGAACTGCTCCCGCTCCGGCTCACTGAGCTGTTCCGGCTCGCTGAGCTCCTCAGCTGGCGGTGCGGGCTCCTCCGGCTCGCTGAGCTCCTCCGGCTCTCCGAGCTCCCCCCCGGCTCTCCGAGCTCCCCCCCCCCGGCTCTCCGAGCTCCCCCCCCCCGGCTCGCTGAGCTCCTGCTCCGGCTCGCAGGGCTCCGCAGCTGGCAGTGAAAAAGAAATCAGGATGGTGGCTGCAGGCAGACGAAACGGTGGCGGCGTTACAGCTGCAGATGGTGAAGCAGCGGGTGGTGTAGCGACCTCTGACCAAGGTGATGTTACCTGCGTCGTCAGCTCGTCCACTGCAGACACAAACACAGATGGTGAGGGAAATGGAAAATTGTCCATACTACTCACCACAGCCGGCTCTTGAGATGTCCGTGGATGTGGCTGCGGTGAGGAACGCCGGCGGCGCGAACGTCGTTTCGGCGTCTCAGGCTGTGAATCCACCAGCTGTCCGGGCCGGTGAGCAGCCTGAGGAGGAGAGTGGAGGTGGAGGGTGGAAAGTAAGAAGTCCAAGACGACAGGATTAAGGTCGTCAACCAGCCAGGGAAATTTAAAAAGCGTCTCCTGCAGCCGCCTCTCCACGGTGCGACGCAAACCTTCCGCGGGCTTCTCCCACCATAACTCACAGAGTCTGTAAACCCTGTCCATAACCTCCCTCCTGAGCCTCTCCTCAGAGACCGCTGGGTCCATACGTGGCGGGATCATTCTGTCACGGTATGGCATGGCACACCGTGGAAGGAGTGGGGAAGGAGGACCCAGGCGCGGTGCTCTATGTATAGACAGTGTTTATTTACAAAGTGAAACAACGAAACAATAAATCCCCGTGTTTTCCCAGACTCCCGTGTCGTGTCTCCCCGTGAATAGTCCGTGTTTCTGTGCTCTCCGCTCCCGTGTCAGCACCCCCCGGTGCTCGCTGCTCTCGTGTCTTCCACGCTGTTCCTGCGGGAAACAAAAGACACAGCCGTCAGGACACATACAACTGCGGGCATGTGCGCACACACACACACACTAACTCAATAACAGGACGACTAACGTGGAGTCTCATGCAATGATCCCGCGTCGGTGGGAGCTCCAAGACTCTCCTAAGTAGCTCCCCCGACGAGCCCTGATCAGCGGCAGGTGTGTGGCTTCGGGTGTGGCCAGTCCTTCCACAGGGCCACACCCCTCAGGCCTGCAGGTGGCTGAGCTCCATCCTCCAAGCATACCCGCAGACGTGTACACACACACACACACACACACACATCTACAAGCATGGAGAAGAGCAGCAGCAACACCAAAATACATATAATAATAATAATAATAATAATAATAATAAATAACTGCTCAGGGATCCTGGGTCGCCCAGTCCCAGGACCCTGACACCTACTAATATTATTTTATTACAGGGCAATATTCAGCTAGGTTACTACTTTGACTTTCTTACTTTGAGCACATTTCTGAGCCCATACATTATCAAACTTTTACTTGAGTATTTCTGACGCTAGCAGCTATGCTTCTACTTAAGTTAAAAAAAAATGCCTGCACTATCAATATATAAAGCTGTCTGTAATTCTTGAACAGTTCATGCAAAAATTATAAATTAAACCTGCACCACAGCTAACGCTTTTTAATAACCAATAACAGGTGTATTTCTTAGATCTACAGATACAGCCAAGACACTCTGCTTGTATAATGCCATATTCTCTCCCAGCATACCCTTGACTCACAACAGGGTGATTCCCAAAGTACGACTCAATAAACAGAGACTCTAAAACCAGAACAGAAAGATAAAGTTGGAAGATCAAAGATTAAGGTTTGTGTTTTTATAGCACAAAGTAAACTGTCCCCTTGTCTTCTAGGCCTTGGCGTGCGTACCTTAGAAGTCAGATTATTAGTCATACTTCCAAAAACATTTTGAATTCCATTTATAACTGAGATGTCAAGCTGTTATCAGACATCTTGTGCTCACCAGGAGCATGTATCCCCAACCTCAAAACCTTAAGGTGTCAAATTCATAAACCCAACATGGGATCATTCAACATGTGCATGAACATGAACACATGAATTAGCATGCCCCCGAGCACACCTGAATGCGCATTCGCACACACACGAAACCGGTCAAACCGGTTGTCAAACCGGTTTGGTTGGCCGCCATCTTGGACTAATGCCCCCTTATTACTACTTTTATATATTTATGCATTTGCACACTCCTCCAAAGACACATGCACGTGTGCACATTCACACACGGACAACTTCAACCCTCAAATACAGTATAAGGTTACATAGTTAATATGTGTTAAATTACATGTTAACACCTACAACCAAAATGGTTTTATTAATCTTTCTATATTTCTATTTTTTTTTGCTTTCTGTATTTTTGCTGCTTCGTTGTCGATACCTCGTTAATACCTTTATACCTATTTCACACCTCCTACATCACCACTATTGCATAAGAAAAAGATGCTCACAAAATGGTATAGAAATGGGAATTTAAAAAGCACACACACAAATGTTCTAGCTTTAAAATGACCATTTAAAAAAATTTTGTAAACATGATTTTTATACTGGTTTAATACTGTCATATATTTTAGGGAGGCAGACCCATTCATTAGCATTAGCAAACTCATCTCTTTGTCAACCCATCACTATTTCATACAAGCATGTAACAAGTGAGGCATTTTAAATGCTTCATTAGAGGAAAGCACAAGTTAATACAGAGAAAAGTGGTTTCTGTAAATTTATCCCCAGATAAACCTGAATGACATCATAAGATATTGTATCTGTGGTTAATCAAGCAGCAGGTCAGAGTCCTCAGTCCCACACAGCCGTGTGACCTACATGACTCAGTCTCTTTCTAATCTCCACGTCTTGTGGATGTCAAATGATGCAGGTCAGCAGAAGAAGTTCTCGGCCAGCTTCCTCATTCTTTTATTGTCAGTGGCCTTAAGGGGACGCTCTTCATCTTCAGGTTGCTCCTCTGTGATGGTGGCCCCTTTCAGCTTATCTTTATCAAGGTTTGGATGGAAGAACGTATAATAAATAACTTTAAATAACAGACCAAGGACGTAAACTGCAACAACACAGGCAGCTGTGGTTAAAGGGTGTGTCACAAAATCAGAAGGATCTGTGCTCATCTTCCAGCACCACAAACCACAGAGGATGCAAATATCAATAAGGATATACGCGTGATAGAGCACGGACCTGATCCTCATCCCCTTGGCCACACTAAACCAGTTAAAATACCAAATGAGGCCAACAGTGGTTCTGTAAAGCCATTCTCCACGAGGGTCCTCCATGAAGTTGGTCTTGGATCGCCAAGCGAAGAAGAATAAAACCAGCCAAGAGCAGATGAAGTGGGCGAAGATGAAGCAGGGCAGCACGGAGGCGAAAAGAGCGATAGCAGCGATTCGAGAAGAGATGAGAACCAGGTTCCAGATGAAGTAGAAAACTAATGAGATCATGTGGTGTTTTTCCTTCTCTGGCAGGAAGGTGCGCATTGAGTGATCGTAGGTGGTCAAAAAGGAGGCGATGGACAAAGTCGAGCCGATGGCCTTCAACACTGAGGAGAGAGCGAGGGTCAGAGTTAGAACAAACGTTGATTCTTTGTTAGAAGATCCAAGTAATTTACGAGTTCAAAAAGCAACCCCAAATATTTTCAAACATTTTTTGTCATTCAGTATTTTATTATTTCGACTGTATGATGTTTGTTTTCACAGAAACAGCGATCATTTGGCATTTAACATTTTCACATCAACCAATTATAATAGGTTAGTATAATTATTTCTCTTCTATTCACATCTCTGTGTGAGCTCCAGCAAAGATGCTTTTAATTGTCTGCTGCAATTTCACTTTCCAAAATTTGATGACCAGATTTCACACAAAAATTGAAGCAATTTTGAATTTGATGGCAGCAACACGTCTCATGGAGGCAAAAGAAGGCTGGACAAGTAAGTGAACAATTTCAGAAAAATGTTCCTCAGTGTTCCTCATCATCTACACTGGAAAAAAGGGATTGGCCAGCTCTTGGATTTACATAAGCAGCTTGCATGTATTTAACACAAGTGACTCATGCTTTAAAGTTAAGTGTAACTATATAGTGTAGAAACTACATGATTAAATTGTTCATATCATGTTCGAGTGAAGTAAGTCAATGATATAGCAATGGTAAATCCTGCAACTCTGCACAGGATTTCAGTTCACGCTTTGGTCGATCAGCCGCCTCTACTTTTTTTTGGTATACCGAAAAAAGTAAATTGGGTGGTTGTTACATTAAAAAAGTCTAACTTGTAATTTGAAGAAAATAATTTCATGTTTCTATGGTAAAAGTAATTAAATCATGAAGGATCTGTATGAAATTCAGCAACTTAATTTGTTCCTGGTGAGATGACCTGTTACAATCTAGTAAGAGTGGTTAGTTTCTGGACTCATGAAATTAACAAGATCACATGAGTTTTCAAAAACTGCAGAAAAACCACTGGAGTTATAAGAGGCAGACAGCTACACACACACCACGTGTATGCCATCGCTTTGTGGTTCAAATCCACAATCCACTGGGTGTTCTGGTTTCCTCCCACAGTTAACAGTAACACAATTAGAGTTCGGTTAATTGGTGATTCCAAATTTCTCCTGAATGTGAGTGTAAATGGTTGTTTGTCTCTCTGTGATAGACTTAACCTATCACTTTGGGGTTATGCCCCAGCCCAAAAGCTGAGTAACAAACTGTACCTGTAACAGGATCCAGCCGACATTTGTCCAGAATGATGGTGAGCATGAGAGCAAGCTGCGGGGCGCTCTCTGAAAACGTCTCTATGAAGCGCAAAATGCGGAGATCCTGTCTCAGAAACTTGGCCACACTCTCAGCGTCAGCGCGCTTTCTGTATAAGCTTTGCACAGACTTCTCCATGACTCCTGCATACCTGAGAACCAGAAGAACCAGTTACAACAAATCCTCCCGCCAGACACGCTGAACTGAAAAGATCTCGAAGCAGAAAAGGAGCAACAAACGTCCGAACAAAACAGGCTTTACTAAGATGATTTAATGTTACTACAGGTGTGTACTTCTGTAGTGCAGCTGCCAAACAAACAAGTTCATGTAAATTTATTTCCTATAAATCAAATATTTCAAGAAACAGGTAAGGAAATGTAAAGATGGTGCCTGGGGCTCTATGAACGCACAAATATCATCATGAAACAACCTGAAGAAGATCCCCAGCTGGAAAACATGCAGCAGCTTGAGCTGGCACTGGCTCGGCTTCTTCTCAATCTTTGTCTTCATCTTAAAATCATCGTAGCGGTACCACAGCCAGCTGTACACCTGAACCAACATGGACGAGGCCAAGAGAAACAGCAGCAGGAGGCTGAAGTACACGTAGGCCTTCTGCTTGTAGAGGGACACAGCAGCCCATATATCCAGCCCTATATCAAGCAGGAAAGACAACAAGTTCACACAAGTGAAGAGAAAGTCCCGAGTGCAGCATTTAAACTCATCCTCTGAGCCCGGCATGCTGACTAGATGGCCTGCTTCTAAAGCAGCTATATGTTAAGGTTTAAGACAGCTCATAAACTGAAACTGAAAGAGGCAGTGTTTAAAAAACACCTCCTAGAAACTGATCCACACATCTTAAAGACATATTGTACCATTTTACACACATGCATACATATAATCAACTGTAGTATGTCCACCGAAACATGACTACAACTTAAAACAACCTAAAACTGTAAAAACAAAAATAAAAGAAGAAAAACTCAACGTCAACACATTAAGATTGACGAGAGAAAAATGAAAAATAAGCAACGATCTGGACTTTTGATATCAGCAGAGATCGTTCCGAATGCATTAAACCATTTATATTTCAGATCTTCTCATAATTTAATAAAGTTATTTCTCACTCCCAACGTGTGTCCTTCAGGCTTATGCCCCATAAACAGAATACAACACAAATTCTTTGCGCTATTGGAAAAAAACCTTTTCAAATAATCAAGTAGTAGATGTTGTATACTTTCAGATTTTCAACACAATTAATGCATCAAATCACTGTCACTGATTCCCGATCCAAATATCTGATAAACATCAAAAAAGTTTATCTGAACACTTTCTATCAACTATTACTGATGTGCAAGAGTTTTAACTTTAAATTGTCTGATATGAGATCAGGTCAAGTCTGAATTGAAACTAAAGTAAACAAAGATTTTAGTGTCAGCTCTGATAACAAAGTAAACAAACATGGAGTGGGTGAGTGAGATAAACACTAGCTTTTTTTATCTAAACACACAGAAATGCGTTTAGAGCAGGGCGCCTACTGATCAGGTTGGTGATTTGACGATGATTTCATTACAGTAGATTTAGCATTTTTTTGTTTTTAACTCCTACACATGGGCTTATTTTTTCAATATGGCCATCCACAATAATACTATACCTTTGTACAGCCTTTGTGATTGGTATTCCTATTACTGCAGCCATGGCAGGAGCTGAAAAATAAGAAATCATGATACAGTATTTTTTAAAATTACTGTATATTGTGACAAAATGTGGTCCTATGTCATATGCTTGCACCTTCCACTGATGCAGGCCAGGGGGCGCCCTTTCCCCTGTTTTCTCTTGGCTCCTTCACTTAAACCAAACACATCCCCACAAGGGATGAATAAAGCCGACTGTTGTCTACATCCCAGTGGTGTGCTGTGAAGACAGATAAGTTCTTTCAACTGACATAGTTAATTTATTAAAACAGCTTTTTTTTCTGTGAACTTTAGTGCTCAGTTTCCTAAACCATGAAACTTTTTTACTGTTTTCATTTGAAACTAAACATAATTCTTGTCTGAGAAAAGTCACAGAAACCTGATAAAAGCATAAATTATTTGGTTTATTAAATAACCAATAATTGTTTATCAAATCATTTATCAAATGATAAGAGTGTCCTAGCTGGTTGGGATCAGGATCAGGATAGTGTTTTTTTGATTTAAATTTTTTTTATGAAAGTTGTTACATTTACAGAAAACTACAGTCAAAACTGAAATATATGAGAATTTAGAGATCACTTTAAAAACTTCGCAGTTACTTTAAGTAATCATCACTAATCCATATGACAGTCCACACTTGTGCACACAAAACAATACTTTTCTGCTTGTTGTTTAAATATTTTTTCAGTGTAGCTTTGTTTGTGTCACTGTGTGCATATCTATGTTGTGTTTTTAACCATCGTCCGTATGCCATCCATCCATCCATCCATCCATCCTCATCCGCTTTGTCCGGGGCCGGGTCGCGGGGGCAGCAGCCTAAGCAAAGAGGCCCAGACCTCCCTCTCCCCAGCCACCTCCTCCAGCTTATCCGGGGGAATACCAAGGCGTTCCCAGGCCAGCCGAGAGATATAATCTCTCCAGCGTGTCCTGGGTCTGCCCCGGGGCCTCCTCCTGGTGGGACATGCCTGGAACACCTCACCCAGGAGGCGCCCAGGGGGCATCCTTGTCAGATGCCCGAACCACCTCAGCTGGCTCCTTTCGATGTGGAGCAGCAGCTGCTCTACTCTGAGCCCCTCCCGGATGGCCGAACTTCTCACCCTATCTCTAAGGGAGAGGCCAGCCACCCTTCGGAGGAAGCTCATTTCTGCCGCTTGTATCCGCGATCTCGTTCTTTCGGTCACTACCCACAGCTCGTGGCCATAGGTGAGGGTAGGGACGTAGACCGACCGGTAAATTGAGAGCTTTGCTTTTACACTCAGCTCCCTCTTCACCACGACGGACCGGTGCAGCGTCCGCATTACTGCAGCTGCAGCCCCAATCCGTCTGTCGATCTCCGGCTCCCTTCTCCCATCACTCGCAAACAAGACCCCGAGATACTTGAACTCCTCCACTTGGGGCAGGAACTCATCCCCGACCCAGAGTGGGCACTCCACCCTTTTCCGGCTGAGAACCATGGCCTCAGATTTGGAGGTGCTGATCCTCATTCCCGCTGCTTCACACTCGGCTGCGAACCGTTCCAGTGCGAGCTGGAGGCCCTCACCCGATGAAGCCAACAGAACCACATCATCTGCAAAAATCAGAGATGAGATTCTGAGGCCACCAAAGCGAAAGCCCTCCGCCACTTGGCTGCGCCTAGAAATCCTGTCCATAAAAATTATGAACAGAACCGGTGACAAAGGGCAGCCCTGGCGGAGCCCATCACCCACCGGGAATGAGTCCGACTTATTGCCGGCAATGCGAACCAAGCTCTTGCAACGGTTGTATAGGGATCGAATGGCCCGTAGCAATGGGCCAGACACCCATATTCCCGCAACACCTCCCACAGGACACCCCGAGGGACACGGTCGAATGCCTTCTCCAAGTCCACAAAACACATGTAGACTGGTTGGGCAAACTCCCATGCACCCTCAAGTATCCTGGAGAGGATAAAGAGCTGGTCCAGTGTTCCGCGACCAGGACGGAAACCGCATTGTTCCTCCTGTATCCGAGGTTCGACTAGCGGACGAACTCTCCTTTCCAGCACCCTGGCATAGACTTTCCCAGGGAGGCTGAGGAGTGTGATCCCCCTGTAGTTGGAACACACCCTCCGGTCCCCTTTCTTAAAGATGGGGACCACCACCCCGGTCTGCCAGTCCACAGGTACTGCCCCTGATCTCCACGCAACATTGCAGAGGCGTGTCAACCAGGACAGCCCTACAACGTCCAAAGCCTTCAGGAACTCGGGGCGGACCTCATCCACACCAGGGGCTCTGCCACCAAGGAGTTGTTTAACTGCCTCAGTGACCTCGCCCCCGGAAATTGGCGGGTCATTCCCCTCATCCCCAGACTCTGCTTCCTCCTCGGAAGACGTGTCAGTGGGATTAAGGAGGTCCTCGAAGTATTCCTTCCACCGCCTGACAATTTTCTCAGTCGACGTCAGCAGCGCTCCGCCAGCACTATACACAGTGCAGGTAGAGCACCGCTTTCCCCTCCTGAGACGTCTGACGGTTTGCCAGAATCTCTTCGAGGCAGTCCGAAAGTCTTTTTCCATGGCCTCTCCGAACTCCTCCCACACCCGAGTTTTTGCTTCAGCCACTGCCCGAGCCGCATTCCGCTTGGCCTGTCGATACCTGTCGGCTGCTTCCGGAGTCCCACAGGCTAACCAAGCCCGATAGGCCTCCTTCTTCAGCCTGGTGGCTCCCTTCACCTCTGGTGTCCACCATTTGGTTCGGGGATTACCACCACGGCAGGCACCAACCACCTTGCGGCCGCAGCTCAATGCAGCAGCTTCGGCAATGGAGACGCTGAACATGGTCCATTCGGACTCAATGTCCCCAGTCTCCCTTGGAATGCTGTTGAAGCTCTGCCGGAGGTGTGCGTTGAAGATCTCGCGGACTGGGGCCTCTGCTAGACGTTCCCAGCACACCCTCACTACGCGTTTAGGTGCACCAGGTCTGTCCAGCGTCTTCCCCCGCCACCTGATCCAACTCACCACCAGGTGGTGATCAGTTGACATATGATCACCACCTGGTGATCGTCCGTATGCTTAACTGGAGAAATCATCTGCATTGTCATTAAGTGTTATCTTGGTGTAGTCAACCTTTTTTCTGCACTGCATCTGTAAGGTCTCCATGAACACTCTACATGCACAGCGGCTCAGAGTTTAAAGAAATGTGTTTCAGTTGAGGGAAAGTGATGAAGGTTTGTAACATACGCTCATATTCTTCTCAACAGTCTGATGTGTTTCAGCTTTTGAAGAAGAGTTTCTTTTTTCCTTTTGTGTAAAACATTCAGTATCAGTTAAACAATCAGAATCCCTGATTTGTGGTGTTTTTATTGTAGATCAAAAATATGAAAAGCAGCTTTAACAAAGTGTGAATCCAAGAAAAAATAAGCAAAAATGTAGAAAACTAAGAGGCCTTTGCATCCGTTCAGCATGTTCACTTTTTACTTGGTCTTAAGTGTCTATTGAAATATATACCATAGCTCTAAATAATACATAATAATAGTTCATAATGATCATGTAATACTCAGTGGAATTTATTTGTTCCTTTTCGCCATGGTAAACATGCTAATGTACAAAATAAGACATGTGAGGCCATTAGGAGTGAAGAGACCCTGAAAATTGAACACTATCATAATAATTATTGCTAATTATTTAATGAGAATAATCACTGTTTACTCCCAACACCTCTGTAAGTTTTAAATATAATGTAAATACATGTTTTAAAGTTTCAGACTCAGTTTGTATTTTTTATTTCATATGAAAAACTGTTTGAGAAGAAACTGAATTACAAATGTAAACCACAGAAAATATTCACAACACATTTAGTATAAATACAACTTACAACTTTCAAAAGATTTTCATTGGAGTTCTTCATAAGAATTGTTGCAGTGTAGAAAGAACAAGTTTTGGTTTCTGATGGAAGATTAATCCATATGAAAAACATCTCAGTTGTATTCAGACAGACCACACAGATCATTTCCTAAAGTTTTTAAGGTAACAAGGCTATTTTCTGTCATGAAATTTCATGTGTGATATATTTTCTTTCTTTCTTTGTAACAAATAAGAAACTTCTTTGATTTAACTAATTGTTGAAGCCTGGGAGCTTTAGAGGTGAAAATGTGTCAGGGTGATAAGACGGGGAAGTACTTTTATGTCACAAAGGAAATTGTTGCCTCACTGATTGGTTCAGTTTGTCTATTTCCCATCAAAACCTTGTGATAAGATTTGCTGACCAATTTATCAGAGGTGGGGCTCCAAACATGGAAACGATAAACGTTTGCAGTCGATCCTCAGGAGTGTTTCAAAGGACTTTTACCCACCATGAGATGATGTAAAATTATGTAGAATTTTGTGTTGTAGTTATAACAGGAATGATTTTGCTTTGACACCAGGAGCAGACACAAGTTCATGTGAGGTTTGTGTCAGGAAAGAAAAACCAGAATAAAATCCTAATAAAGAAAGAAGCCTGCATCTAACACAACAGCCTCTCTGCACACACTCAGGCTGATACTAAGAACACAAAACTGATCATATGTAAGCAGCGCCTGAATTTTAAACAAGCATGAAATTAGGCAAGAGGCAAGTGTAATCAACTATTACAAATAAAATATCAAATATAAACATTTATAACAAAGAACCTTCATATGGTGTGTTTCTAAATATGCCTTAAGCAAATTATTCATTAGAATGTGGCTTTAAACCCTGATAGCATGTTGATGGAAGACTGAGATGAGGCTGATCACTGCTGAAAACGTGCACCGAAAGAGCTGAAAACATCCAAAGCAGGTGAAATTGGAAGGCTCACATCAGAGTTTGACAAAAACATATCAACGTAAACAAAACATCTTGAGGGTTATATATCAAACAAATCTTGGTGCTAAGAAGTCTCAATAGGAGCACCTAAATTAATTAGATACTTATCTTGGAACTTTAGAGTAAAATCTGCATAAAAACTTTTTAAAAATCTGCTGTTTTTCATAATTAAAGACATCTTAAAAAGTAGATTTCAAATTCAATTAGTAATTTACACAATGACATGATGACAGAAAAAACAAATTATATACATAGATTTTTCTTTTTTTTAAAAACAGGAAATATTGTTGCTTCCTTTTCTGGAAGCTGAAATATTATTTATGAAATGTTTTTTGTATTTTAAATGATCATAAAATATTTTAATTAAAAATCATGACTATATTCTTTAAGACTGAACAGCCACTGGAAAGTCATGGAAGAACATGTCTTCACAGCAAAAGATAACTATTTCATACAAGAACATTACAGACCTGAAGATTAAAGCTAGGGAAAACAAACTTTGAATGGCATTTTTAAATGCTTTGTTAGACAGTAGAGCCAGTTAATTGCGAGCAGAAATCATAAACTGGAGCAGACTGTATATGTGGTTAATCATGCAGAAGGTTAGAGTCCTTAATCACACACAGCCCTGTGATGACTCGGTCTCTTTATAGCTTCCTGTGAAAGTGAAACAGGTTAGCAGTAGAAGCTCTCAGCCAGCTTCCTCATTCTTTTATTACAACATGGTTGTGGTGGTGGGGAGGGGGTTGCTTTGGCTGCATCCAGTTCATCACCCACGTTTGGCTCATTTACAGGTTGCTGCTCTCTGCTGGTCCCTTTAATCTTATTTTTGTCAAGGTTTGGATGGAAAAGTTTATAATAAATAGCTTTAAGTATTAGACCGAGGACGTAAACTGCAACAACACAGGCAGCTGTGATTAAAGTGTGCATGGGCTCTATCACAAAATCAGGAGGATCTGTGCTCATCTTCCAGCACCACACAGCACAGAGGATGCAAATATCAGTCAGTATATACCCGTGATAGAGCGCAGTCCTGTACCGCGTCTTCCCCTCCACCACACTAAACCAGTTAAAATACCAAATGAGGCCAACAGTGGCTCGATAAAGCCATTCTCCACAAGGACTTTCCATGAACTCTGTCTTGGATCGCCAAGCGAAGAAGAATAAAACCAGCCAAGAGCAGATGAAGTGGGTGAAGATGAAGCAGGGCAGCACGGAGGCGAAAAGAGCGAGAGCAGTGAGACGGGAAGAGATGAGAACCAGGTTCCAGATGAAGTAGATGACTGATGAGGTTATTTGCTGCTTCTCCTTGTCAGGCAGGAAAGAGCGCAGCGAGCGATGGTAGGCCGTCACAGTGAAGGCGATAGCTGAAGCTGAACCAACAGCCTTCAACACTGAAGGGAACAAGAGACAGTGTCAGAACCAGCAAGATGCAAATGACAAACACTGAAAAAGTGGTTCATTCCAAATAAAAATCTATCAAATTTGGATATGTCTACTCAGAATCAGCAGACTTTAGTATATTTAATGAACAATTTTAATTTTTAATTTTCTGAGATACTGGATGTGCGGTGCACATCAAAACAAAGAGCAGCTGCCTGGATTGGGCAATAATGAAGATTTGCCTGCTGCAGGAAGCTGAAGCAGGATGAGGAGTGACACTTTGAACTTAACCTTGACTCTGATTGTGACAGACAGACTCTGACAGATTATCTATGATTTATTTGACCTTTATGGACTTGCCACATGGAAGACGGAAGAAAGAGGACAACATATGTGCAGGAAGTGAAAGTTGATATATGTATTTTAAATATTTTAATTGTCACGTCTCCTATGAATTTGGATAATGTAAAAAATTATTATGTATAATAGACTAATAATTAGAGGCTAATGTAGGAGCCGTGAATATGTTTTAGAATGAAGGCAAAATTATTTGATTGATCTATACTTTTTGATAGTTATTCCTGATCAGTAACTGTGACATTCGTTACCAATTCTTTGTAATTGTGTTGTAATTTTTATGGGGTCTGGAGAGGGGATAGACAATGTTCCTATCTGGAGTTGCTCACAGTGACAGCTGGCGCTCAGGGGTGGATATATTCGTATCTCCTCTGGCTTGGTGACTTTCCATTGCGGTTTTCCAAAGTGGATGAGAGGGTTGCTTCCCTGTGCCTTCAGTTCAGGGAACAGGTGCTGACAGTTGCCACATGTGTCAAATAACAGTTCAGTGTACCTGACAATCTTGGAGTGTCTGGGCTGGTTGCTGAAAGTACGCTGGTCGGGAACTCTCTTGTCCTACTGGGGAACTTGAATGTTCACACAAGCAACGACATGAAATTAAAATCTGTAGAAGTGTTACTGGAAGGATCGACCGGTTCAACTTAGCACAATGTGCTGAAATCTCAGGTTGGCTATTGATTTTATAATCATGTCATCACATGGGACACACTAACATCATTACTCTAGTCCAAACGTCTTCTCGCCCGCCTTCTTTGAGCCACTCAGCTTCCGCTTTGCATGGTTTAATCTGTGCTCTGTGTCACTCTCCCTTTCAGATTCTTTTTCATGCAATCCAGCTCCTCCCCTCATCCACCTCAGACACCTCAGCCAGACCTCTATGCAAGCCTCTGTCTTCACCATCATCACCATCCCTGTCCTAAATCCTATAACTGCTGAGACCCAGTTCTGCCACGAGGGGTCATTGGAGTCTAATTACCAAATCTGTTAATTTCTCTATCTCAAAAAATCCTGTTAAATTCTTCCAAGAGATCTCGCCTTATTGAATTTACCCTTAAAGAATTGATATTCCTATAGGTGTTTCTACTTCAGGACCTCAGCATTCACTTAAATCATTAAGAACACAGTGACTCTCACTGTTTTCTCAAACATACCAGACTATACATGAATGAAAAAACTCCTGCACCTGCCATGTTTAAAAACATGGGTTCAGCTCAGTGAATTCAGTCCATTCTAAATGTGAAATTTTTTTTGACAGATTTCAAAAATACATTTTTGTGTAAAAATGTAAAACTGCACCTGTCACAGGATCCAGGTGGCCCGTCTGCAGAATGATGGTGAGCATGAGCGTGAGCTGAGGGGCGCTCTCTGAAAATGTCTCTATGATCCGTAACATGCTTAGATCGTGGGTCAAGGACACGGTAATGTCCTCAGTCTTAGGTTTCTGTTCTCCTGGCGTAAGGGCACCTTTCTCAGGGTCAGGGAGCCTATTGTACATGCTTTGTACTGCCATTTCCAGGACTCCTGCATGCCTGAGAAACAGAAAAATATGAAGCATAACCAGTCAGACCGAATCCTCCTTCTAGCTACACTGAGATTAATTTCTCTGGAACCATTCTTGTGAGCCAGCAGGTATTCATTGCGTGAAAAGGAGCAAATGAAACCAGTTTACCCACTTCTGATGAAGGAAATAAAATGTGTCCTCCGTTTATCTTCTGAAACCAAGGAAACAGCTTGTGTTTCTAACATTCTCATGTTCACAACAGTTGATTTAAACACAGAAATATTGCAAAAAAAAATTGTGAATGAAACAGATGATATAATGTGTAGATTACTTAATGCAGCAGACTGATGCTTGCTGGAGTTACTGTATATACTATGTGCACCACTGTAGTGGAGTACAGTTCAGCTGCACAACACATAATGGTTCAGCTTGTGTTTCCTATGAATTACTCTACAAAAAACTGCACCTGTCTAGAAACAGGCAAATAAATTTAAGCTTCCCACACAAGCCTCAGCCTTTACACACATTATTATTGTTTTAATACTACCTGACGTAAACTCCGAGCTGACAAACGTGCAGAACCATGAGCTGCCTCTGGGTAGGCAGGCCTTCAACCTTTGTCTTCATCTTAAACTGGTCATAGCTGTACCAAAGCCAGCTGTAAGCCTGAGCCAGCAGTGTTGACCCCACAAGTAGCAGCAGCAGAACACCGAGGCAGGCGTATGCCTTTTCTTGGTAGAAGATAACAGCGGCCCATATATCCAGTCCTATGTCAGTCAGAAACAAGGGCAGGCCCACGCAGGTGATGAGAAAATCCCAGCAGGAGTATTTAGACTCACCCTGAGTGTCTGACATGTTCTCTGTCCCACTGCCTGCTTCTAACACAGCTGCATCTTATAACTGACAGCTGATTACAACTCACATATAACCTGTGAATGACTGACAGTGAGAACCAAACTTTGGTTTTAAAAAAAACCTCCTAGAAACTGATCCACCCATTTTTTTTCAGTAGCGTCTTAAAGATGTATCGGCATATTCCATACATGTAGACTCCTCCTACTGAAAGGTTTCCCTTTAACAATGCTGTGGTAATTCCATTGAAAAATCAGTAGAAGATCTGCAACTGATCACAGTCAGAGAGTTTTAACACACCTTATCTGTTATAAATATTATTATGTTCACATTTAATAGAAATGCATTTAAATGCAAAATAAATGTTTAGATTTGAAAGTGCTGTACTTGTACTTTAATTGCAAAAGCCTGCAAGTATTGGCCCATTTTTTTAAAGGAAGTTGACCAAAATTGCAAATAAAATCACGTCTGTGAAGATTCTCAGTCATCCAGGTCATCATAGTCAAAGGAGCTTGCAAAGAAAAGCGTCTGGACTTGTTTAAGTTGTGTTCATTTTTTGTTATTTTTTTTTAGGTATTTTTATTTATTTATTTATTTATTTTGTGTCCCGTTTGGATCTTTAGCCATCAGAATTGTTGTCTTAAGGCCAAGAAAGATGCCAAGCGGATTTATTTTACCAAGTGGATCATCATGGCCTTGCCATATTGGTCCATTTGATTGACCTTTATTATAATTATGTATTTATTTTATTTTCAGTTGCTACAAACGGGACAGGACAGGGAGAAAGAATGAAAGAAAGAGAGGGAGAGAAAGAAAACCAGAGGGGAGAAGAGACGGTGAGAAGGGGGGGAAGAAAGAAAAAAAAACAAAAAACAAAAAACACCTGGATCACCTGTATGGAGAAAAAAACAGAAGAGAAAGCAAACAACAAAGAGCAACATAATAAAAAAAACAGCACCATCACAATAAACTAGCTAGCAGTAGATATCAGTAGATACTAAATAATAAACGATATTGTGCAGCACGCAAGATAGACAGCGCACAATGTGCTTTGAGGCAGCAACCAAGAAAGGTGTAGTCCGCGTCTGTGAACACCCGTGTGTACACCTGTGTGGATCGGCACGCTTGTATTCCAAAGGTTTCTCCATGTAACGATCTGCTAGGGAGTGTGGGGAGCCACAGCCCCGTCCACCAGGGTATGAAGCAGGTATGGAGGAGATCCAGGCCCCAGATATCCAGAGGCCCCAGAGTACAAGCAACTTAAACAAGTCCAGACGCTTTTCATTACAAGCTCCTTTGACCATATAAAATCACATTTTCTCATGAAAGAGTATTTTTATTCTTGGTGCACATCCCAAGACATTGTGACAAGTTGGAATCAGGAATCTTCTCTAAATGAAAATGGCCTGAAATTGAAAAAGAAACTGAACCTATCACAAAATCTGCACCAATCTGCAGAATGATAGTGACTGTCAGTGTGGCACCCAGATCAGAAAAGTCAGTGGTGAGGATTTGTACAAACCTCTTTAGTATTCCTGCATCTCTGAAAACCAGAACAACATGAAACATAACCAGTTCCACTTTAACTACTTGCCAAATATGCTGAGTTGAGTTTCTCTGTAAGCATGCTTATGACAGCAGGTATTCGTGCATAAAAACAAGCCACTATTGTCTAAACAAAACAATTTCCATCCGTTTACGTGAAACGTCAAATGTCATCAGCCACCTATTGAATACAAGAAAATGGAGACATGACCAGAAAACACTTAAAAACTAGGTTCATAGCTGGTGGAGGTTATCACAGCTGTGGTTGGGTGAGAAGCAAGATAGAACCTGGGCAGGTTGTCAGCCTGTTGCGACACAGAGAGCAGATAACCATTAACAGCCATGGCCATGTCAGAATTCCCACTTAGCCTAACGGAGCATGTGTTTGGACTATGGGAGGAAACCAGAGTACCTGTAGAGGAGAACGTGAACCAAACATAGAAAGGTCTCGGCCTTGATTTGAACCTGATACTACTTCACTATGAGGCTAACTACTGCACCTCTGTAAGGGAGTACAGTGCAGCTGCCAAACAAATCAGTGCTTTCATTTCATTTGCTTGTAAACACAATGTTTCTACAGGTGCAGGAATCTCAGCAGACAGCCCAGCATCCTTTGCACTACACCCTCTGTCCATGCAGCTCCCTAACTCCAGTATTGAGAGCAGACCTAAAGCAGACTCATTCATGTGTGTGCAACATGTGAGAAAGAACAGCAGCTGATAAGATCCTGATCAAACATGCATTACTTGTTGCATACATTTTTTGAATGAATTATTCTTTTAGTCCGTTACCAAGTTTACTTTTTTTTGTTGCATAACTTACATTTTTACTGTTTATGTTTTGTTTGCTTTTTTTTTTTGCAAAAGGACTCTAGCTGCATATTTGGAGTTTTAAGTAGATCATAACACAGACCCTGCAGGCCTGCCCCGTGGAGACAGTGAGGTCCTTCCACTTCCTTGAAAACATAATCTCCCAGGACCTAAAAGTGGGAGCTAAACATCATCTACTTCATCAGGAAGGCACAGACGATGCACTTCCTGTACCAGCTGAAAAGAATCAACCTGTCAAAGTCAGTTATGGTGCATTTGTACTGTTCCATCAGTGTAGTGCGCTACTACCACTGTCAAGATCAGAGTGCAGCACGTCATCCCCTTTGGTTGAGATGACTTAACAGCGCCCCCTCGCTGCTCAGTCAATGTGTTACAATAACACACTTACTTTCTCAGGACCCGATTGTTTTAAATGCACAAATAAGAAATAGAAAAGAAGGACGATAACTTGTATTATTATATTTTGAAATTCACTAGCTGGGTCCACATCCTCATTTTAGGTTTGACAGCGTAGGTAAAGGTGAGTGCTTGGACATGAACTTAGCCTGGTAGATCCCCAAGGAGGGAGGGTGGGGCACGTAAACGAGAATGAACAGCTTGCAGAACTGGGGGAACATATATAGATGACAACCGGAAGGAGCGTGTTTGGAGGCGTGGTCGCACTCCTGAAATTCCGATACATAATCTCTAATATAAGAGCACAACTCAATAGTATTTTGTACAACTAAAATAATGAAATTACAATTTAAGATAAAGTGTTGTTTGTTCCAACATACATCAAAATGTATTCATTATATAAAATAAGTTACAATAGAATTTGTTTCTTCTTTTCGGTAAAAGTGTGTTTAATTTATAATAACATTTGTCTCCTTTTGTTTGGATTCATTTGCACACAGAACTGAAAGTGACCGACAAAGCTTTAAACTATTGTTTCATATAGCTCTAAACCTAATATATGTTTTTCAGCCATTTAAAAAAAAATAAATAAAAAATAAATAAATAAAAAATTGACCACATAATCATAAATAACCCACTGCAGAATAGTCATGTCATACAAGGATTTATTTCCATTAAAACTAATAATAATAATAATAATAATAATAATAATAATAATATTAGACAAAATATACTTTATCCCAAAGTTGGGAATTCTGTTACAATAGATTAATAAATTAACTTAAACACATCAAACAAACTTAAGTAGGCACTATGTGACATAAATATGTTTTGTAGCTTCATACACCTTTTTAAATCCAAGTTTGCTTAACATAAAAAATAAAAAATTACATTATTGATTGTAAAGGTCATCAACACTGGGAGTCAAACGGAAGGCATTGGCATCTTTTCACCATGTAGCAGCCTTAACGTATTTTAGATGCGTTGTGTTATATCCACATCAGTCCAAGTGATCTTGGCAAACACTGTAGAAAAACAGTCTGACACTGAGCCATCTATATTATTCAAAAATGGCAGCCTTATCACATGTTTCAAATCTAAACCAGAATAAATCTGTATTAGGAGAGAGAGGTGCTCTATTGCTCAAGAAATCAAGATTTCAGGTCCATGGAGGCTGTCTGGGGATTTTAAGGCAACTCATTAATTCTGTAAAACAGAACATTTGTACTTTAGACTTGAGTAAAGTACAGTTTACAATAGTGCAACATTGTTAGAATATTGCTTTGTTATAATAAAGAAAATATATTTTTTAAATTAGTTTTTTTTTTACACCGTTATATTCTTCAGAAAAATAAAAATAAAAATTTTTTTTTTTAAAAAAGCAGTGCAATAATATTTCAAAAAGATCTCCATAACAGTTTCAAACATGCATGTTACTGACCTGAAAGCCTGTCCTTTTAAAGGAAAACAAAAGACTGATGTCTAGAAATGTTTTGTTAGATGGTAGCACCACTTAATGAAGAGCAGAAAGTGCTTTTAAGAATTTGTCTCCAAACTAAGTTGAGTAATGCCTTGTGAGAATGTATGAGTGATTGGTTAGGAAGCAGGTGATCCACAATATCACACAGCCTTTATGATCTAGCTTTAAAAAGTAGCTGGTTTCATGACATCTGCATGACTGAGTCTCTTTGTAGCCTCCACATCCTGTGGATGTCAAATGATGCAGGTCATGAGTAGAAATTCTTGGCCAGCTTCCTCATTCTTTTATTGTAGTGTGCTGAGACTTCTGTTGCAGAGCTCATCATGCGGAAGTCCACCTGATCTACAGATTGCTGCTCATCGCTGTCAAGGTTTGGGTGGAAGGACTTATAATAAATAACTTTGAGTATTAGACCGAGGATGTAAACCACAACAACACAGACAGCTGTGATTAAAGCGTACGTGGGCTCTATCACAAAATCAGGAGGATCTGTGCTCATCTTCCAGCACCACACAGCACAGAGGATGCAAATATCAGTCAGCATATACCCGTGATAGAGCACAGTCCTGTACCGCGTCTTCCCCTCGGCCACATTAAACCAGTCGAAATACCAAATGAGGCCAACAGTGGCTCGATAAAGCCATTCTCCACAAGGACTTTCCATGAACTCTGTCTTGGATCGCCAAGCGAAGAAGAATAAAACCAGCCAAGAGCAGATGAAGTGGGCGAAGATGAAGCAGGGCAGCACGGAG